GAACAAATCTGAGAGAGGTCCACATGTAGTACCTATATAGGTAATATCAAAGCAATTGCACTTGCGGTTTTTAACAAGAAGTCGAAAATATCAGTTTTTACCAAAAATGACAAAAATATTCACCAAAATTAGAGAATTAAAGATATCATTACAAAATTAACAAATCTGAGAGAGGTCTACATGTAGTACCTATAGATGTAATATCAAAGCAATTGCACTTGCGGTTTTTAACAAGAAGTCGAAAATATCAGTTTTTACCAAAAATGACAAAAATATTCACCAAAATTAGAGAATTAAAGATATCAACATGAAATGAACAAACCTAAGAGAGGTCTACCCAAGGTACATATACACCAAGTATCAAAGCATTTAGGCTTGTAGTTTTCAAGAAGAAGTCGAAAAAGTAAAACATTGACACGGACGACGACGACGACGGACAATCACTCATATGATAAGCTCCGCTCGACAAAGTCGACAGCGGAGCTAAAAAAGTCAGTAAAAGAGTACAGTATGTGAGAAATGGGTTGAACAATTGCTCGAAAACATAATGGCAAGTCTTTTAAATGACAAAAATTAACCGCCACCATATGTACTGATATCAATACCAACAATTGGTTCAGGCGTGCCTTAGAAGTGGTTGATGACATGTTAAAATGTTGATGACACAAATCAACATGCATACATTTTAAAGCGGGTCATTGTTTACAAACAAGCGTCTACTCATGAGCCTTTGCGTTTTTAGCATGTGTTGTTAACATCGCTTGGGATTCTATTCCTGCACATGCACAGGTGACAACCCTCTCGCTTTAAATTATGATTTGTATATGTGTAAAATTGCTCTGCTTTACATTGTCGTCTATGATGAGTATAATTGTAGTATAAGCCCTAATCTTGTTAGTTTAGTTCAATATATCTAGCATGGAATGAACCATAATGAAGGAAAATAAATACACTGCCAAGTCTGTTGAAATGTTTGAAATGTAATAAACTGCTATGGAAATCTTCTCTAATATTTTCTGCTGAAATCCACAAAGCATCAGAGCCATAGTCACCAAACCAGATGAAGGGATGAGTGATTTGTCCTGAAATATAACAAGAATTGTAATAATACATCTAAGTACTGAAAACACTAGGAAAATATGTTCTGCATTTGCATTCATTCGAAATAGGTTAACAAATTTGAAATTTCTCATAACAAGATTTAATATGTTTCAAATTTGCACACTATCCTTTGTTTACATTACACTTGAATGGTAACAAAGAAAACGAAAATAGGATAGACATCTCTTATTTAACATATTATTTATATTTAAATATCAGGTTACTGGTAACACACTATTTTCTTTATATTTGGCCTTAAACTTTGTTTTACATGTGGTGTTTGGAAACTAGGTTAGGAAAATTTTTTTTTTTTTGAAAATGCACAACACTTTTTTTTCACATACATCTAACCAAAATTGTTCATTATTACAGAATACTGCATACTTTGTGATATTCTTATAATATTCCTATAAAATAACAAGTATTTAGCCCAACTTAAATCAGATAAATATTAAATTCAATCAAATTGTACTGTAGATCAGTTGTGAACCAACCAAAATGAATGAATTGATGACTCATAAGTATCGCTATTACACTACAAGAGCGGAAATATTGTATGTATTCTGTTATATGCTAAACTGGACGTTACCTGGCACATGACATGAATAGTCAGAGCAGCTGCTTCCACAGTAAAAAATGGCATCAATACATACTGTAAGGGAAAAGACAGACAGACAAAATTAAACAAAATTAAATCAAGAATTAAAGTAGAAATAAAAGACACAGTAATTTTGCTTTCAAATATAAATGTAAACAATTAATTTACTTGTTCTGAAGAAGATGTGTGTACATAAATGAAACAAGAATTGAGAATGCACAGTCCCCTTTCTGTATCAAAATATTGTCCCTCACTAGTAGCCATTCACAATTATGAGATTATTTGCTACTATAGTGATGCATTCTGTTCTTGCAGAAAATATTTGGTTTACTAGGTGAAAACTGTGTAACCGAATAAATGCCAGCATTATACTGAGTTCAAACAAATAATGTGAGCTTTATTAAAGAAACATATGTTAAAAATGACAAGTTTTAACCACTGTATGCAAAACTCCTGAAAATTTGATTAAACTGCGAAACAAGAAAGTTTGCAATGCACATTTTATTTCTTAATATATGTTTAGCAATCAATCAAATATCAATTCAGTGAATTTGATCAAATCACAAAATAACAAATTGTATTGTACTATATATGGAGACAGTACTTCTGTGCAAACTTTAATCAGAATCAGACGATGTATTAGTCAGGAACCAGCACAAACATGAATAAAAACAAAACGGTTGCCAGTCAGCCATTTTTGTTTGAATCTCAAAAACAAGTTGACATGTTACTGTAACCTAATATGCAAGATCATGTTACAAAGTTTGAATGAGGACATGTTTAAAGACTGCGATTTAACAACACATGTACAAAGGAAGCAGTAAAACAAAAGATTGGGGAGGGAGGGGGTCAAATTCACGTAATCCTCAATTTTAATGATGATGATGATTTCATAGTTATAATTTTTTTTTCAAAAATCCAGATATAAATTATATACAATTGTAAACAATTAAAAATATTAATATTAATTCTGGCAATATATCTCATTTTAATTACCGGTATTAGTAACTAAATGTGTTTCATTGTATACAGTAAATATTGTTTATTTAAAAATATATAACTACATCATATTAATTAGTATGCAAATTAATATGCAAATTAGTCACAAACCTGAGACAATTTTCTAGGGAGAACAATGCACCTGTAACCCAATATGCAAAATCATGATACAAAGTTTGAATGAAATCGACCTGCCCATATTCAAGATCATTGAGCCAATGATAGGTCCAAAATGACCACCAGATGGCCATATTTGATCAAATTGTCATAAAAATTGATGTGCAAATATAAGTAATCATACATTATCTTTATGTTAAGTTTGAACGAGTTTGGTCACAGCATATCTGAGAAATGGCTCCAGATGGACAGACAGACTTCGCCCAAAACAGGTATTAACAACAAATATGTACAAAGTTACATTGAAATCTAATGACTGAAGATACTTGACACACATACTGCAAAGACTCTCGAAACTGTGGTCAAATACAAAAATGGTCATAGCAGTTATATTTAGTCTAATTATGCATAAATTATTAAAAAAGGATGACCCAATCTTGTAATTTCCTCATACATGTACAATTACATATTTACATAGTAACCATACAAATGAAATCTCCTGGCTTACCTTGATGTTGATGACATTGACTGCTAGGATGAGCCGTACAACTATGCCTACTATGAGAGCCATTAGCTCTCTAACATACGATTTCTGTGGTTTTTGTTTGGTCTTTTGTAGAGGTGTAATCAGAGGCGTACTGGGAGTGTCAAGTTCTGTCCTCAAATGAGTATGAAGAGATTCGTTGATGACATCACCATTACAGTTTATGATGTCACTACTGCCACTTCTCTCTGAAGTGACCTCATCTTGCAGAAGCTTTGTCCATTTTCATCATCGCAATTTTCTTTTGTTTCCGAATTTGCAACTAATTCTGCCTTCCGACCACAACAATTTTTTTTTGCTTTCTCATCAGACTCTTCCCTCTTCTGTAATGTTGTTTCCAAAGTACCTTTTTCATCTTCATCAGTTTCAACGCTGGTTGCTTGGATATTGCTGAATAAGGATTTCTCCTCGGGTTCACTTACACAGCTGAGTATTGAATCAAGTTGGGTGGTGCTATTAAACACAGCGTAATCAGAATTGTCCACAACAGCATTGTTTTTATTGTCTACATCAACAAATTGTTCTCTTTCCTTGTCAACCACAATTACTTCTTTAGCCTCTGGTTCAACATCTATAAAATAAAGTTACAATTATTTTTTAACTCAGTCTTTATTTTTTTTTTTCTAATTATTGTATTTTTTATTACTGTATTGTATTGTATTGTATTGTATTGTATTTAGAATTGTCCTAGTCTTGTAATACTTTTTATTTACCATACTGAACCCGCTGATGGTTCGGTAGTGTAATAAAGTTATTATTATTATTTTTAATATATTTTTAGCCTAAATTGCCTTTGGGAAATGTCTTGAGAGTAAAGTAACATACCGTACTGGTCCACCTCAGCGCCCACCAACCACTATTGGTTCACATTGGCTAATCCATGGGCCCATCCCTTGCTCCAAATTTGCCTGTATCTTGTCTTTGAGCAGTGTTTGATTTCTCCGATTGCCAGTAATCAAATTTGTATAATACAGTATGAATATCGTTAGCGAGTTTGCAAATTGGATGCCTCAATACTTCTGAGACTTGCTGTAAATGACCCAAACATCGACGTTTTTATCTATTTTTAACGCAAACATAGTTCGGCGACCATTTGTCTTCAAGTGTGAACAAAATGAACGTGGCCGAACGTTGACGAAAGTTAGTTTTACCATGGTTTTACGCAACGAAACGACGTTTTGTTTATAAATATGTCGCCACTTTGTTGTTGCATAGCCATTCACATAGTGTCGAATTCCCGGTCTATACGACTTTTCGGTACTGTGGGGCCGAATTATCAGCGGAAGTACTACAGGACTGTACTCAAGGCTAATTGTCATGTAGTTCCGTCTATATCACAATCGTGAACATGAAATTAAAGGTTGGAGTCAGTACCTGGTTTCAGTTTGTTGAGGTCCAACACCTTCTTTAATCGACCTTCAGAATTCATCAAAATCCGTCTTCTCCTCGCCTCACGTCTCCGAGTTGCTGCGTCGTCCGCCATTTTAAATCATACTGCCCTCCCACAGTTTTATGATAAAATCTTTCTTCTTTATTAGGGGTGGACCATTAGAAACTCTGGGCGGGGCGATGGCAGAACTGTGCAAAATATTTGTCCTTCACTTGGTTTTTAATGTTATTTCAAAAATTGGTGCATTGGCTCATATCATGGTCAATAAATACGGTGTTCAAAAATTACTTGACGAAAGAATGGCAATGAGCAAAATGTTTTTACAGAAAATCCAAAATGGAAACTGATCCACACAACTGATCAAAATTAGGGCTAATCTGCACTGGCTCGGAAGGTTGTAAATGATTAGCTAGTTTGAATTTGCATAACAATACTGACAATGAACGTGCATTCAACGCCACAAGTTTTTTTGTTTTTTTAGCCAATCAGAATTCATCTTCCGAGCCAGTGCAGATCAGCCGCAAAATTATTTTGTGGCTTGTTAAGGCCATTCACTGTTTTTAAAATTTCTCACATTTTCCCCCTGTATTTTTCGGCTTCATTTCGAATTTCTGATAATATTTGCACCACGGTGAGAATATTTAAACCGCGGTGCAAATAATTTTCTCTGAGGTGTAAATGGTGTTAAAGTGAAAATGTTGGAAATTTGACATTATGCAGAAAATTATTCTCACCGGGGTTAAATTATTTCCACCGCAGTGTAAATATTTCCATTGTGAAAAAAAATTATTCTCACCGCTGTGTAAATTAAAGTGAAATTGTCAGAAATGAAGCCGAAAAATACAGGTAAAAATGAGAAATTCGAAAACCAGTGAATGGCCCTGACAAGCCACCGTATTTTTGCCAGAAATCCAAAAAGCAACCAAACCATATGATTGATAAAAATTATTTTATTTTTCCTGTGAAAAACTTGGGCCATAGATACTACAATCACAACATCACGTCAATTAGTATAACCATAAAGAGCTTTGCATACAGTAATGCATTTTATATGCATGTACAAATGCTTAAAGCGGTAGGGTGTCATGTGCGTGAATTGAGTCCCAAGCGATGATAACACACACCAAGAACGCAAAGGCTCCCGAGTTGGTGCTTGTTTGTAAACAATGACACGCTATGAGGCATGTGTATGTGACAACTCCCCCACTTTAATACTAAATTCCATGCTACAACAAAAAAAAACAGAATGTCTAGACCCCCAGAAGGATTTTACAATGGCCACTTTGTTTAAATTCAGGCCAGAAAAAGCTTGGCATTGCCTAAAAATAGCCTTGTATTCTTAATTACTGTAAAATACTCTATTTTCGCTTCCAACAAATTTTTGCTCAAGGAATGATTTAGTGAAAATAAAATCCAGCAAATATACCTTTTTTCTATATTTTAGATTCAACTAGCCAAAAATCACTGAAAATAAATTCTATACAAAACACCCAAAAAATCTTTACAGTGAAAATTAATTCCAGCTAAAATAAAGTATTTAACAGTATTCCACTCTTGTGGCCGTGCAACCAATTGTTCTGGTCATTGGTTTATTTCAGTAAATCTATCTCTTTGTCTTTAATCTAATTATAAACAGGCAAAGTGTAATTTCTACAGCTGCACTAATAGGGCAAGTGTAATTGCTACAGATAACTGACATATTTTGCAAATCGACATTGTCGCAACTACGTAACTGTAGCATATTTTGTAAACCGCTATTGTAAATATGACCTTGCATGTTGGCCAGGAGTGAGCAGCTTTAGTTGCAGAGCAACGTCTCGGGTGTGAACCCACATCAACCACGGCAGTAAGAGCCTCTAATGAGTTATGGGATTTCCTATCTCAAAAAAGTGTGCATTAGAAAGCACATGAATTATTCATGAGTGAATGAAAAGGCGTACAATACCTCTTTCGAATTTATTTAAATTACACACGTTCAGCACTGCAATTGATTACCAAATTATTCAATTTTGTAGTTTCCTTCATGGTACAAGTCATTAATCTGCCTAGTGAGTTTACAATATGCTGACAAAAACTATGGCATTTACAGTTGTAAACACACTCAAACTCGAACATTTAACTAAACATATGTCAACTCATACTAAGAATATTGTTGAAAGTTGTAATTATTTTTTTAACACATCTTCAAAATTTTTTTATTTCTGGGCAAGTCCAATGTCGTATCTGATCTTCAATTGAATTTGAGGGTAAATTGCCCATCATGCTTTTTGTACAACCAGGGCAGGTACATGTATAAAGACACACAGACTAATCAAATGTAAAACAATTTATTTGTAAAGTAGACAACTGAAATAAATTGTGAATGTACAAATAAAAGTGCATTAAAAATACCTTTCCATAAAACTAGTAGCCTGTAGACAATGTAAGTAGCATATCTGTAACATATCTGCAACAATAGAAACATTGCCCTGAAAATCTCTCCCAAAAAACAAATAGGAAACAATGTTGTTTTTTTTTCACATCAGGAATAAAAATATTTAAATGCAGGAGCTGATTTTTTTTTTTTCAATAGTTGCACATTTTTAAATCCATGAAATACTGAGCTTTGTGGTACCAAATGAACACACAGTACAGACAGCTGGAAAATGAATTATTATTATAATACATGTATATGCTACGTGACATATGACTAGTGCTTCTTCATTTGGCACCACAAACATATTTTCGGCCCATATACCATATGTATTAAAAATATTAAAGAAAAATTGGCGAAAAAAGCAGATCATGCATTTTTAGGTCTAAATATTATTTGCAGTAAAACTAAAAATGAACAGAAAACAAACCTCCCATCTTTGCTATGCCAGTAGTGTTAATATATTTAATTTACTGGTATACCACTACTATGTAGAGCTTATTTATATTCGCTGGGTTTTATTTTCGCTGATAACGAAACGTACTAAACTAAAACCCAGAGAATCTGTAAATTCAACACTAGAATGTATTGTGTACTTCATAAACCAGTGAATTAAAAACTAGTAAATATATCTGCAACATAAAATCTGCATAAAACACACAGTAAATACTCCTGCAGTAGATAAACAGTGAATTAAACAGAAACCTCTGAAACTTATTATTATACTAAAACCCCAATTTAACTGAATGTTGCCAATATTTAATGATTATCTGCAAAATGTAATTCAATTTAGGATGAAAATCGTAACATAGAATAAGTACCAGAAATGTGATCTCCATGACTATCTTAATACAAAATGTAAAATAGTGTATATTCATACTAGATTTGCTACAGCAAATAAAGTCCTTCAAATGTATTTTCTTGTCGATTATCTCCCTCAATCTGTTACTTGTTTCATGTTCCTTTTATTTGTATATCACTTAAATCATCTCTGCTAAGTTTCTGAAGGGTAACTGTGGAAGTTTGATAGCATGAAGTCTATCTACCGTATTTGTCCTATTACTGTAGTATTGTATGCACTTGTGTAAATTACAGAGGTGTGTGTTTGGTCAAAATAAATCATATTTTAATGACCCCGGATACAATACAAGGAACTGTTGGTTCACATACACTTTTATTAGAGAGGCGTTTCTAATAGAGTAAATATGGTACACTAAGTCAATATACAATGCCATCTGAAACTAATGCACCATTGATCTTCAGTGTCCTTGAATATTTTTTAAAGTTAGAAAAGTAAAACTGAATCATATAGAGTGGTCACCTGCGTAGGAAAAACTGATAAGACTGAGTCTGTCAACAGATGCAGACCTCGATCCATATGTAAAATTCAGAACATCAGTGTTTCATCAATATATAGGAAATCTCTGCTATACAGACATAGCATGGTAATCCAAAACATGTACATCTCATACATGTACATAGTTTAGACACCAACAAGGCTAACATACTAGCATGTCCAACAGTAAAGAGATTAACTTGGATATATATATCACATACAACAGAAAAACTAAAATGAAAAAAAAACAAGAATATATTCAGTCTTGTACGTTGTTTTGTTGCAGGGGTGACTATGAAGTATGACCATCACATCCTTGGCTATTCCCTGCAAATAAACATAGAAAAACTATTAAAATTGCTTGTTTAGAAAATTCTCAGGAATTCAGCTAGCATTTTGGGAAATGATGCAAATTGAATGATAGTGGTATGACATGGTATGAAATGAGACAAGTCATGACACCAATTGTATGATAGTGGTATGGTTACAGCTCAGAGAGCTAGATTTAAAAAAAAAAAAATCAGTCTTGGCATAAATTGAAAGCAAAACAAATTTTATTCAGCACCGTAATATTTCAAGCACAATGTTTATTGTGGCTAGCATGAATGGGAAACAAAATGAGCTGTTATCACCTTAAAAAATGATAAATTATTCTTCAATGCTCAGTTTATCTTTTAAAAACTGCTAATTAAAAAAATCATGTGATGCCAGTTTTAGAACCATGTTAGACCTTTCACTTTTGAAGTGATGTATTTTTGAAAAAAACAAAAACGGTGAAAAACATGAAAAAATGGTCAAAATAATATATAAATTCCATGAAATGTACCATACGTACCAGCTTATCTGTGTCTTGGTGACAATGAACGACTTCGGGCATAAGGAGATCTTGAGCGAGATCGGCTACGGCTCCTGTGATAAACATACAATAAGCAAAATCTGTCAACACTATGATTCGATGATGTGTTTTGATTAAATTTTAATAAGCAATCAAAACCACACTGACCTGCTACGCGAGTAATACCGGCTGCTGCGTTCACGAGATCGGGACCTGGAAAATGCAAAAAAATATCCAAAACTAAACTTTGCAGAAATAAATGTATCCAAATACCACCTACCATAAACTAGCATCATCGTAGAGTGAATTGCTACACAGATATTTGCATTCTGAGATGACGTAGGTTTGTTTGAGTTTTGGAACAACAACAGTATGATTCAATGATAGGATGTATGCAAATTACTGGAATTATTTGTGAAACTGCACCCTTGTTCGCATTCCTGCGAACTACAGTATTTAAAACGGAAAATCTTAGTGAATCTTCACGCATCGTTACACAATTCAAAAGTATAAAAAAAAAATTAAATGAAAAAATCAAAGGGGAAACTACCACCAACTTAAACCATGTCGAAAATAACATTTGAATAATATGGATGCTATTTCCTGCCATAAAAAATTGTCACGTATATATAAGAAATTATGCTATAGTTCCAAAACATCAATAAACATAACAGTGCCATCTCAAAATACAACTTTTTAGTCATGCAATGTGTATAC